CGTGTGCTCTTCCGATCTAAAGGAAAGAAACATATATGGACATATTTTGCATATAATTAATTATATATAATTATATATGGAACTTTTTTTCTCGAGATTATACAATATGCAGATATATGTATATTACTTTATGTACACTAAGGTGGAACTTATTTTTGACTTTTGAATTTTTTTCACGACGCCTCCTGAAGTTATTCCATTTGGTAAAAAAAAATTGTGTAAAAGTTGAGCGATCGGACAACGGGGACGTGGCACATCTAACTTGAAGTTTTTAAATTAATTCTCGGAACACTTTGTAAATATCAATCAGTTTGTTGTTTGTAAATATTAAATGGCTATATTTCCGTAATGTGCTTCAAAGAAAGAAACAAAAAGAGAAAAACATCTGAGTGAATTATGCAATTAACTCTCAATTTAAAATTCTTTTAAATTTTATTTTAGTATAGATTTATGAATTATATTTTTGAAATTTAGTACATGAAAACTTTATAATTTTAAACTATCGACGAATAAACACTTTTCTCCTAAACTTTCTAAAAAAAGTAATTGCAGCTTGTTCAATGAACTTGATATAAAATTAATATAGAATTTGAAAACGCTTAAAGTCGTAAATGACACAACAGAACGAGGAGTTAAGATCATGCAGGATTTTAATTAAATTTTGTCGAGAAATGAGGAGAAAAAACAATTCATTATTCATATCGTGTCACATTAAAGAACTCAGTATCCAAATGTCCATAAATCTACTCTTAATAAGGATTTGTAAAATTACAATAGATTTAAATATTACAATAGATTGTAAAATATATAGATGCAAACAATATATTGATATCTTTATTTTCCTGCTTGCTTATAAATATAAAAATACGATATATTTCGTATACACATACATATATATACGGCGTATTTTGTTAAAATACGATTAAAAATACTATATATTTATTAAAAAACATTTTATCATTGGTCAACATTTACTAAGAAAATCATTTAATCTTTATTCATAATTCTTTTCATCGGATTTCCCCATTTTTTGTGAAAAAATTATATATTTGTTTCAACTTTAACAGGATTGTGCCACGTCTTTCCGTTATCCGATCGAGCTCAGCTTTGACACAATTTTTTTTCTCACAAAATGGAACAACTTTAGGGGGCGTCGTGAAAAAAATTCGGAAAAAATTTTTCACCAAGTATAAATAGATCGGAAGAGCACACGTCTGAA